AATTTTTCCTAGGTAAGTGATGTTAATGATGATGTCAGGAGGGCAGCAGTAGAATCACTTGGGTTCATCCTCTTCAGGTAATAATTTCTAACTTCTGATTCTATATATATTCCATTTCTGTTTGTAGTTAGTAATTAAACAGAAACTAAATATCTGAGGAATATGTCTAGGTTCAGAGTGACAACCATTTAACAATACAGTTAGTACTGTTCATCTGAAAAAGAAACCAGTATGTTTTGAGAGTCTGAGAACCTGTTTGAGAAGTAGTATTCCTAGTCCCATGTATATTGGTAATTCAAACGAATGCTCTCTCTCACACAGGCTTGTAGAGTACTTGAAGCCCTTTAATAAGTGTAAATGGTAATGGGGTTTGTCTAAATGCAAAAGAGTGAAAAATTTGCAGATTTAAAAAAAATTGTTTTGAATTTGCACATTTGGAAATGCCGTTGGGAGTATAGTATGGTTGTGATTTAGAGGACACACTCTGAAACAAACCTGCCAGGGTTGAATATTGGCTCTGCCACTTGCTAGCTGAGTGACTTTGGGCTTGTTATTTAGCCTCTTTGAACCTTGGATTCCTCATCTGTAAAAAGGGTATAAAAATAGTACCTAAGACTGTTTTTTGACAGTTAGGTGAATTAATATATCTAAAGCCCTTAGAATGGTATCTGCCTCTAGTAAATGATATTTGTGTGTGTGTGAGTGGTGGCAGTTGTAATAATGGTGGTAGATGCAGTAGTATTTCTTATAGTAGTTCTTCTTACTGCCTGCTTGTCTCCAGTCTCACATACCACGGTTTTTTTCTGCCAAGATACTTTATCATAAAAGGCAAATTAAAAGTACTTCTTTTAACTTTTTTTGGATACTGCCTATTATGGCTTATTTGTGATGAAATTGCACAAGAAGTTCCATGTAAGATGAGTTTCATGTCCTTTTAATCTCTGGTCTAGATTTTCTAGCCCAAGTTTTGGGGAGTGAACTTTTGTTGTAAAGACTGTAATGTAATTCAACAAGTATTTCTTAAGCATTTACTGTGAACTGGTTAGGGGATTTTCTCTAAGATGCTAGATAGGAAGTTACCCATTTACTGCAGGCAGTAAATATTTTCTTCCTATTGTGGATAAAAATGTTGAATAAAACAGCAAAGCACAGATCCATATGGCATACAAATAGATTTCACCTTATACCAGTCGATTTTATTGAATGAGGTTGTTCAACAAAATACTAATCTCCTTTACTGTATTATCCTCTAACTCTCATTTGTCCAGACACTAGAGAGCTTTATTAAGTCCTAAAGATGTAGTATTTGTACCGTTCCGTTAGTCTGTATCCCCAAAACTGGGTATGTGATTAGTTGGTTATTGTTCTTAGTATATCCATAGAAGTGTCAGATATTCATTGATTCCTTTTCTAAGATCTGATAAAACCTATTTGTATTAAGCTATTGCATGTTTTCCCTAAAGATCTACAACAGACCACACACTTAAATTTCTTGAATCCTGTCTCTTTTTTCTCTTTTTGAACATCAGAACATTTAGCCACTTACAATCCTTTTGTACCATTGCCATTTTCTGTTTTTCCTCAGATTTGTCAGCAGTGGTTCTATAATGACGTTCACAAGTTCCATTTCAGGGAGGTGATTCATTTAGTTAAGAGACATGAACTTATTTAAGGCAGCCAGTCTCTCCACCTATTTTGCATTTTGATCGGTCTTAACAATGTTACTTTTTACTTTCTGGTCTAAAAATCTTTCTCCTGAGACAAAAGATAGAAGCAAAATAGAAGTTGAATAGTTCTGTTTCCTTCCTGTCATTTTTGGTGTATCATTCTAGCCAACCTGTGACCCTAACTTTTCCTTATTTTTGCTCTAGAGTTTAGACACAATTGAAAAACAAAAACAGATGGTTTTATTATTGCCATTCAGGGAGGGTTTTTTTTTTTTAATTCTTGGAAAACTAGATAATTTTTGTATGGAAAGTATATTCTTTTAGGTATACCCAGAGTAAATAATTGGCTTGTATAATGGTCCTGATGGTCTCTTCCTTTGTTTTATTTATTCATTGTTGACTACTAACTCTTCCTATTAGTCACTTTATATTTTATATCATATAAGTTAGTCACCTAGTGTGTAAATTCTACCACATAAGAAGTTGAGATTTCATGAAAACTGTTTTTCTCCCCTTTTAACCTGACAGTGCTTTTGTTCTCTAATTAACAGAATTCATTTCAGCCCCTGTATTTCCTGAGGCTCACACAAATTCCCTGTTTCAGCAGTAGGTGTCTTCCATGAGCTGCTTTTAGGCTTTTAGGCTTTGCTGAGATCTCTGCTACCAAGGAGTCAGATCCAGCTAATACACTCGTTATTTCCAAGGGTTCATTCTGAGGGTTTTTGTTATGTTTTGTTTTTCAATATGATTCTTAGAAGTAGAAACTGGAAAAGACTTTAGAGATGATTTTGTGTAAAACTTACTTCATAGATGAAGAAATTAAATGTGATCAACTTATCTAAGGAGATGCAGTTAAAACCAAGTTCTCTAATTTTAGATTAGTGTCAATTCCCAGGAGTGATACTTTTTTAAGGTGAGAAATACATAAAAATCAAACAATATTCCCATTTTTGTAAGAGAAACTGAATTCTGAAATTGTTAACAAAACTTCCCATTGTCATAGAGCTAAATGGTAGAACTGAAATTCAGAACAGTTCTCATGATAGAATAGTGCCATCTCTACCGTACCTTTCCTTCAGAGCACCATCTTCCTTAGGGTATCTGACGGAACATTTTTATTCTCAGATTTCCTCATTAAGTTTAATGTTTGACAGGTTTCTGTCCTGTGGCCTAAGAATTAGCAAATTCTTTCTGATGTATCATCATCTTTTTTAGTATGCTCCATTTGATCATTTCTTCCCTATTTTTAAATGTCACTTTTAAAATAACTGCAGACATTGGGTCTCCTTGAACTATTATTTTAAGAATTTGTTTCTTCCTAATTTTTTAAACTTTTTTAAAGTGCACTTACTGAGCACAAATACTGAAAACATGTCAGTAAACATGTATTTGTTCCTCAGCAGCTCAAGTGAAATTGTGTTTGTAGGAAGCTAAAACTTCTCATGTGTATTATCTCCTTTAGTCTCAGGATAGTCCAGGATAATATTTTCACTGTTTCTTTCTCCTGATATTTGTGGGTTGTTTGTTCATAATGTATATAATAAAAAATAGAAAATTATATTGAAAAACATTTTTGCCACGTTGAAATGAACCTAGAACATTTTATCTGTGATGAGTGCATCCATTGTTGTCAGTCTATCAGCAGATTTTATTATTATCACAACTGTTTGTACAGTACTGTGCTTGGCATTGACTGAAACTCTGTTGGAATTGAACATAATTTGAATGATTTTAACTTGACATTAGAAAGGAAAATGAGGAAAGAAGTTAAAAGAAGTATTTGGTTTTTATATACCTATTGAAATTAAGTTGCTCTAATGATGAACAAGCTGATTATCTGATATAGACCTTTTTTAAAATTAGATTATCTTGGAGATCCCTGATCATCTTTGGTATGACTTAGCTATTACAATATGAAACAGTATTTCTCAATTTATATATATTAACGTGCTTGCAGATATGGACGGATCTTGCAAGATGAGAGGGAAATTCTTGATGTGGATATTTTTTAGACCACAGGAAATGGTTTCTTGAATATAAAAATGTTGCATCATCATAGATCTTTAGCATTTGAAAGAACCCTAGCAAACAAATAATTACCACCAAATGCATGAATCATCTTTACAATATCTCCATTTACAGTTTCATATGAATTTGATACACGTTCTCTGTATGCTGTTCTCTGTTTTTGCCTCAGTGTCTGGGTTCTATAACTTCCTTACTTTGTCTTTTTAATTCTACTTTCTATGTTTTTGTTTTCCCCTCTCAATTAACAGTAAATGTGGAATAGAATGAAAGGGGTTTTTCTTTTTTAATTATTCTTGTGAAGAGATGCAATCTATTCTCTTTCTTTGAAGACAGGACTATTAAAGAAAGTCTCTTTGTTGCCATAGGGGTAGTTAGCTTCTGAGATTTGCTTTTAAATATAGGTTTCTTTAAAATGTTTTAAAATAGAAATATCAGTTATATATCAAGATACACTAAAAATTTTGTGCTGTGTTGTATGTTTTCAGGAATAGTTCGTATATCGGAGTTGTATTTCTTTTTCTAGAATCTTCTGGAAATATAGAATGACCTCATTAACTATAGAAAGCTCTCTCAACTAACTATAAGCAAAGAGATTTTTTCCCCAGGAATTGACGCTAAATAGTTGAAAGGTTTTACAGTTAATTCTGTAGACGTGCGTATGTTTAAGCACATATGCAAGTTTGAAGTCAGTATGGCACATGTATGAAGATAGTCCTTCTAACCTAGATTATCTAGGTGGTAGACCTTTGGCAGTGAGATTGCTATCTCTAGTATTTAAATTTTCTGAAACAATTTTATATGCCATTAGATACATAAGATGTGGTTTGGAATACTGTTAGGGTGATAACGCAGTTTGGAATACTTAGAGTGATATATGAAAATGTACTCTCTGACTTGACAAGAATATAAATCTTAACGTATACTAAGTGGTTCATATGAGAGACTAAATCCAAAATAGAAAAAAATGAAATTTTTTTAGGAATGTAAATTACTTTGCCTCTTATTTTGAGGTAGTCCACCCTTAACACTGCTAAAAAATCTTAGAGTAGTGGGGAAAAGTGCCTCAAGTGTTGATGATTTAGGAGTTAAATTTGTAAGATATACTCTTTCTGGCAGGTAACATAGAGCCCATAAGATCTGTGTATTGGAATCGTGTTCTAAGAAAGGATTCTGCCATTTGGATCCTATATCCCTGCTTCACTTAGGCTGAGCTTCTCCATAGCCAGTACATTTCTTGTGATAATTTTCTTAAACCACGTTGCCTGGAGAGAAACTGATGGAGCAATAGGTTAACACATAAGAATGGGTCAGTCTGAAAAAGAAAGGCTAAGATTGGGCTGTCTTCACTGCAGATTCCCTCAGCCTAAATTTATTCACCGTTTATGGGAGTACCATAAAAATAAAATGTCAAAGGTAAATAGACTTGGCTTTACAGAGATTTACAGTCTCACATGTACTCATCCCCATAAGAACCCAGTGAAATGTAGATGAGAAAATTGAAGCTTAGAGAAGTTAAGTATTTTTTGTAAATTCAGTCAGTTAGCTAGTAAATGGCACAGATTGAATTTATTCCAGATTTAGCAATGCAAAGAAAAATAACAAAAGGGTGAATAAAAAATTTTGTGCCAGAAGTTGTCTTTGGGCAAGCTTGGACAACCATGATCTCAGTTTATGAAGTTATTAAAGTTCCTGAATTGATGACCAATGCTTCCAGTTTGTACACGCTCTTTGAGAAACATATGGAGGTTCAGGTACCCGAGAGTGGTTTCATTTGCTTCCTCCTCCTCCTCCGGTAGACCCATCCCTGCTGAGTAGTTGTCTGGTGTCAGCCATTTAACAAAGAGCTCTAGTTCTAAGATCCTGTTACTTTATGTGATATCCAACTATTGGCCTCCCTACCCTTCCATCAAAACAGTTTCCTGATCAATTCAAAATTGTGACTACATTTAACTAAGCTACACCGTAAATGGAAATCTTAGCTTACCTTCAGTTGTGATCATTATTTTATGCTCTTATTTTTAGTCCTCTGTTCCTGTCACTATTGTTCTGTGTTATGCCGTATGCTTTTAAAAAAGGCCTTGAAGACAAGGTTAATCCTTGCTTGTTTTATTTCATTCTTAGCATAGCTTTGCATGCAGTTAGGAACTAGATAAATTCTTACGGTGACATTGGGGTTTTTTTTCAGTCTGAAATTTATTGATTTATTTAATTTTATTTCATTTGAATATCTTAACATTTAACCAGCATGCTGGATTGTTTTAATTTGCAGCTATACAAAATTATTTTTTCATGGAATAATTTTGCCCAAATTAAGAAAATTAGATAATCTTATCATCTAATTCTTAATTTAAAGAGATGATTTGATACATCATATAAAGTTTTTCTTTGTATAATTCTTGGTATATTTACATCTTTATCATCTTACTCATCTTATTGGTTAGATAAAAACTAGGCCATTACTGCTATACATAACTGATTTGCTCTTCAGTTTTATCACCTTCATTTTCAGTGAGGAGAAGTGTATCTAGTAAAATGACTGATGAAGACTGAATGGTTGAACTTCGGAGCCTCATTGGGCTCTGGTACATGGCAGGATTGATGCCATTTCGCATTCCATGTTTCATGAAAAACTTAGAGTTCTCTGCCATTGGATTCCGGAAGTAGATATTACTGGAGCATTTTCTAAGAGTTTTTGCTGATTTTGTGGCCCGGTAATTGCAGGTGATGTATCGGCGAAATGCATCCCGAAATGTCTTGTTGAAGAGGGTGTAGACCAAAGGATTCACCCCTGAGGAAACATAGCCTATCCACACAAATATCTCCAGGAGCATTTTGAGAGTAGTCTGGTTGCAGGAATCGCATAAAGCTGAAGTTACATTTGTAATAAAAAAGGGGCACCACATAAGCAAAAAGAGGAAAAACACTATCCCTAGAACCTTTGATGCTCTCTGTTCATTGGAAATGGTCTGCACTGACTTTTTTCCTACTGTGGACATTTTTCGCATAAGTATGTCATCACTTGCATTGGGCAGAGTTTTGTCCTTTTGAGAACCATCCAGCATTGCTACTTTTTCTGGGGATGAGTAAGGTGTTTCATCCTTTCGGAATACTGTGGACACAGTCAACCATGTTAAGCGTTGAGGTGGCTTGTTTTTGAGCAAGTAAGCTTTCTTCTGTAAAGCATGGATAGTAAGAAAGTAGGTGACAATCATGATTGCCAGGGGTGTAAAGAAGGAAGCCAGTGAGCCAAAGAGCATGAAATTGCCGAAACGATCCTTTGTCAGCCCACAAGTGATGTTGTTTGGGTTACTCACGTCATTTTCTATCCCTTTAATAGGGACCGGAATGGCAATGCCTAAGGAAGGGGAAACAAGATAAACTGAGTTACTTTATGACCTTTGACTCTTAGATTAGGTCTTTTTAGAGTTTATCTTAGTGACTTTATGGTGTTAGTGTATTATAATTCTGGTACCCACAATGTAGAATTTGTCAAAGCGCTTAATCAAAGGAAGAGTTGACAAATAGAACCTAAATCAGCAAGCCTGCTGTTTTTTTTTTAATGTTTTATTTGTTACTATGTTTTGGTGGGAATGGGGAAGGTAATTAAGTTTATTTATTTTTAGAGAGTGTATTGGGGACTGAACCCAGAACCTCGTGCATGCTAAGCATGCGCTCTGCCCTTTGAGCTATACCCTCCCCCGAGCCTACTGTTTTTTAAAGAGATTGGCCAGTGGTTTCAGTTTTATAATTAAAGTTTCCCTAGAAGTACTGTATATCTAGGGGATGTCTTCATTTATTCTCCATTTCTCATAATCTGTTGTTTGTTGATCTAATCCAGGCTAAGGAAAGGAATTCAGAAGAGAAGGTGCTTTTATCTTAATTTCCAATGTAGCTGAGCTTAAGTGACTTCAGAGTACATTTGTGCAGCATCTTAATAATGAATAGATAACTGTTTTATCTTTGAGGTTGTATAGTTTCATTTAACAGACAGTTTTATCTTCTGATATTTGTGAATGTCTTCTAACCTTTTCTTTCTGACTTCTTAGGAAAAACTAAGGGTTCTTTTTTTTTTAATGCTACTTAAAGTTTTGAGAGTATGTGAATTATGAAATTTATTTTCAAGATTGAGGGTTCCTCTAATAGACAGGAAAGACATGTACCTCATGCTAATTTTCTTATACTTTAAATACCATGAAGTAGGTATTTAAATATGATCTTGCTTAGTGAAGTAGCTTATTAGGAAGACAACAGAAAGGTTAACCTGAATGCTTTCTCTTTGAAACAGCAGATATTTAAAAATAAATCTGAATTCATTGATCTTTAGACACCTCTAGAATCCTTAAGGGTATCATAAAAAAATTCACTTATATGAATCTAAAAGTACTCCTATCATCTGTACAGCCTTTTTATGGTAGCAGAGAGACCTTCACAAGAATATTTTCCTCAGACTCTTTCTGATGGATGCCACTGCTTTTTCTACTTTTCCTCAGGTACACTAGCAGAAAGAAGATTTTGTATACTGTATACTTAATGTTCTATACTAGGGGTCAGCAAACCATAGCTCAAGGGCCAAATCTGGCCTGCCTTCTGTTTTTCTAAATAACATTTTATCAGAACACAGCCATACCCATTTGTTAATGTATTTTCTATGGCTGATTTTGTTCTCCCGCTGCAGAATTGAGAAGTTTTGACAGAAACCATATACAGTCTGTAAGATCAAAATATTTACTATCTTGACCTTTATGGAAAAACTTGGCTGACACCTCCTCTGCCCTGTTACTTTCAGGTAATCATTTCACTGCTCTCCCCCTCAAAACATTTCCCTTTTAAGTTTATTTAATCTACTTATACCGTTCTGTTCTCCATCTGAGTCATCTACCAATCTCAAGGACATGTGTTTGTCTTCCTTAATGGTTTCAGCCCCTTGCTGTAGTCTTCTCTCCACTGTTCCATTGCTGTCGTCTTCCATGACTTTATCCCATTGATGACCCTTCTAACCCCTAATTTTATATTTCTTGAATTTTTCAACTCTAATTATTATTTGCACTCCTGAAACCATTCATAAATCCACTTAAAATTATCCCAAATCTAAAATCATGAACTCTGATATATCCCTTTTTTGTCCTGCTACTCTTCATCACTGTAGAACTTCTTTTCTGCTATCTTGACCTCTAGTCCATCCTTCTTTCTCTATTTTCACATTCCATTAACTCCCATCCAGGCTCACATTACCTTCTCAACCAGCTTGCTGGTCAGTAATACTTAAGTTTTCATTGTTTTAAACCCATACCCTCTAATTCTCCTTTCATACCTTACTTGTTATTGGGTGTTACCTAGCATAACTGTAAATCCAGAAAAAGAAAGTGAGCTCTTTTTAGCTCTTTGCAAAATTGAAAACTGAACTAACCCTGTTATCTGCCTTTTCTTTTACAAAGTTACTAGATTGTCACTGGTACATTTTTTTATTAATCTTTACATTCTTAGTACCTCACATATCATAGGTACTCAGTATACATTTGATCAATTTATAAATTCATGTAATCTCGCCTTGAGATAGCACTTCTACCAGCAAGCTGTTTATTGGCTTGATATTTCAGTTTCAAATGTTTTCATTCTTAAGGATCCATTTTTCCTATTTTCTCCCTACTATTGCTCTATTCCCCCCAGTGTACCCCAACACATACACCTCACACCATCTTCCTTTCCTCCTTCTTCATTATACTGAACTTACCAAAAAGATAGTGGATTGTTTGACATGAACTTCTTTAGTTTTCCGTCTCTCCACTTTAAATTTTGGTAATTGTCATCCATTATCTCCCATGCCCTTTCCCTAGCTTCCGTTTTAAGGACCTCTTCTGTTCTGTCAATCAGTCTTTGTCCTCAAAACTAGATTTATCTCAGTGCCTGCAGATACCTATATTCTAAATAAACTTTTCCTGGACCCTTATGTCTCCCCAAGCCAGAGTAGTAATACTCCTTACTTTGACCTCCAAACTTTTGAAAAGAGGGGTGGCTTTGGTATGCTTTATTCCAGGATTATAAAGTGTCATTTTCAGTGTCTTGCTTTCTTGTTTTTTTTAGCCCAAGTATTCCTTTTTCTGATTAGAGAAAAATCACATCCTTTTCTTGCTTTTCTTTTAGCATTTTAGGTCTCTTTTGATTCTTTTTCTCTTTAAATTTTTTCTTACTAGGAGAAAGTGAATCTGCTGGTCAGACTGTTAATGGTCATAGTAACTATTGTGAATCTGTTTGTTTTTCTGATACTAACTTATAAGAGAGTTGAGTTATCATTTATGTTGTACTTCATGCTAAGATACTCTAATATAGCAGCTATCTTTGAGCATCAAAGATGGATGCAGGGACATAAAACAGAAGCATGATTCTTCTAAAAATCATTTCTGAACATCATTTGTATCTCTCTTAAATCTTCTAATTAAACATGTTCAAAACACTTAAGCAGACACTAATGCTTTTAGTCTGTATACATAGTGGCTTCCAGGATGAATATATGAACTTTGATACCTGCATACAAAATATTTGGGTTTGTTTTTTTTTTTTTTGCTTTTCCTGTTTATCTTCTTAGATGTGATTTAAGGTGCATTTCAATTTTTTTTGTTGCTTTAATAAAATTTTGGGATTCTGCATGCTATTTAGACCTTAATGATTGGTTGACAAATATGAAAACTGTTACTACATTTAGTCTAACTGCATGTCAAAATTAAGCCATGAACTTTTCTGCTTTTTCATACTTTTTGCTGATATTATGGTTTAGAAGCTGTAAGATGAATGCAGTGTCATAAGGAGCTTGTATTGGTGTATCAGTGTCTACCAGACCTGGTAATTTCCTAGTCAAATGGAACCAAAGGCTATATACACCACCCCAAACCCTGACGTTCCCCACATACCAATTGAAATTAACCACACCACTGTGATCTTGATGAATGCTGTACCTCGTGAGTTACATTGATTGGCCTGGATTGGCTTTTTGATGGCTATGTAACGATCCACTGAAATGGCACAAAGATGCATGATGGATGCAGTAGAAAAAAGAACGTCAAGAAATAACCAGGCAGGGCATAGAACAAGTGGGAGGGGCCACATAGCCTCTGAAAGAAAGAAAAAACAAAAACATTTTCTGCAAAATGGCAACCTTGAATCTGCAGTTTTTAAGTGATACATATTTTTTAAACTTTTTCTTCATTCATCTGGAATTTTATGACTTAACCTCCACAAGATAATGTTTAACTTCAGATAATGGAGTCAGTAATATTAAATGTATTTCTGTAGGTGGTACCTTTTTTTTTAATATTTAATTTGTGTGTGTGTGTTGGGGGGAGATAATTAGGTTTGTTTGTTTGTTTATTAATAGAGATCCTGGGGATTAAACCCAGGACTTCATGCATGCTAAGCACATGCTCTACCACTGAGCTGTACCCTCCCCCTGATGGTACTCCTTTTAAGTACATTTTGTTTTGTATAATAATTACAACTCTTTTCCTAAATCAGCAGTTTAGCATTTTTAGCATAGCATTATTTTAACCTTTGCTCTTTTGTCTATTCCTTTTATGATCTTTGAAAAATTTATAGTTTTGCAATTGGAACTTAACCTTGCTATTCAGATAAAATTTACTTTTAAGCTGCCATTAATATTAAAAAAAACAAATTTTTTTACCGAACAGAGGAAGCAATATAATGTGGCAAAAAAAAATATTAGAATGGGAGTCTCACTAATGCCTGGGATCGCTCACTTCTGGCAATAAGTAGCAGCATGATCCTTGTTTATAGCAAACTCTAATTTGGTTAAATAATTAAATGGAATGACTTGAGTTTTCTTTTTGACAGAAATGGTTCTTAAATAAAGTTTGCAAAAGGAATAGCTTCACATTATCCTGAAGAAAAGTGGATTATTACCCTTCCATATCCCATCCTTCACTCCAGGCACTGGAGATGTAATAAGCAAAACAGTCTTTTGGTTTAAAAAGAAACTCTCATTATTAGGCATAGTCCTTAATTTATTTAACAAACTCTTATTTAAAAAGCACTTACTCTACTCCTCGTACAGTTTTAAGCACTTTAGAAATACTAACTTTTTCTTAAAAATTCAGGTTTGGGGTATGGTATTGAATATTCTACATAGTTTTCCAATAAATTTTCTTAGACAAGTATCTATATGTATATGAATTTTATATACTAGCATATACCCACTACATACATGTTTGCAGTTTCAAAGTAACTAAAATTTATAATAGAATATGCCCTAGAATATTTCAGTTAGAATCCTTTTTACCAACACACACACACAGATTTTAGAACTTGCTATAAAAAAGCAAATTGCTCCTCTGTAGAACAAATGTCATACATACGAGATTATCTAAACCTTTTTATGGCTTAATTGTTGTATGTCCACTGACTAAATGTAACTTTCTTTTCTTTTCCTTTTTGCAAGTGTATCTGACTTTGTCAGCTATAAAATGCTTAAACTAATTGAAGGGGGAACCAAGATAACCATCCCAGGATTTCAGAGCACAAAGAGACCCTTCAGTTGTAAACTGAATTCAGGAGGCCTGCCTGAGGGTGGAGAAAGGTTAGCATCCCAGACCAAAAAAGGACCATAATTTAGGGGAAGAGTTTTTAGGTAGACTTGAATATATTTTTTTCAAGATTTAAGAAGGATCTTACTGAAAAATATTTGGATACTTCACAAAAAAGTTAACAAGGCTGACAAATCCACCCTTTGGTGCCTTCTGTTGTTTCCAGAGCTGGTATATGGCATTCTTAATAGGAATATTGAAATATTTCTTTTAAAACAAAATCAGTATGAATTTTTATTGAAAAGGGAGAAGTGATTGCTTGGTACTTGGTTCCATGTTCAGTAGTTTCTTTAAAAAAGGCTTTAAAGCATCAAGTAGAAGGAGTAATTTATACTTTTAAGTAAATTACTGTAATCAGACTTTATCTACTTCACTGAATTTGGGGTGGGAATAAGGAGTGGAGATGATAAATTGTAGTCATTGGGCTGGAGAGGGACCTTAGAGATTATACCACTGATTTTGCAAATGAGTGAATTCAGGTACATTTAGTCTTTGAATATGAGGGAGCATTTATTTATCAAAACTTAAATGTTAATTGAAAATGTTGTTTAGGACCTTGCCACTCAGGGTGTGCTCTTTTGGTCAGCAGAGATCAGCATCACCTGGGAACTTGTTAAAACTGCAGGCTTTTGGGCCTCATGGCATATCTACTGAGTAAGACTGCAGTTAAAGGAAATACCCAAGTGATTTGTATGAAGATCAGTGTTTGAAAACCACTGCTTTCTTGAAAGGGTGTCTTGCATTTGCTGGTATAGAATAGGCATTCAGAATTCCTTATAAAGAGAAATCTATGGGAGATCTCTTAAAGAAATAAAATATGGCAGAGAAACTTGTGTTTAAGAAAGATTCTAATCAATTAGATTTTCTCCCTATTAGCAGTAGTATTTGGATTTCCTGTTAACTAGTGAATAGTCAAAGGCAGCAATGTATTCTTTGACCTGAGCTTAAGCAAACTAATGGTCTGAGTGAAAAGAATCATATATGACTGACACAGTTTTGCAGTGGAAGCTACTTAAAGTGAGGCTGCATTTTAAACCATCCTAAAGTTCAGATTTCGAACTGAGTAGGAAGTAGAAAAATGCTCAAGTCTAGAGCTACAACAAGAGATGTTGATCATAGTTAAGGATTTTATAAGGTGGATAATTAATGTCTTATCTCTTAGGCTTCCTGTTTTTAAATGCATGCTCTCTATCGTCTTTTAAAGTGGGTTGCTAATAATTTAAATTTACCCGTTTAGCTATTCTAATTATGACTTTTTTTTTAATTTAAGGTCTGGAAAATTGTAGTCATAAATCTAATAGCCATCAGCAGGAAGCCACAATAGAACTCTCATATGAAAAGTACATGTCTTTGGAATTGGGCTGTCTGACCCACATACTTCTAATTGTGGGCCTAGAGGGAAAGCTCTTTAGTGCTGATTTTAATTAAGTCTATGAAGCCTTGTTAGCCTCACTTTCCAACAGAATGAATTTATTTTATAAACTTCAATTTTGGGACAGAAAGTGGGTGTTAAAATTAATGCAGATCATTAGAATTTTATTCCTTGAGTCAGTGCTTTCTTATTAACAGTAGAAATGTTGAAACATGATAGAGAATTTTCTTAAAGAAAGAGACTATGAGGTTTAGGGTTGAGTGATGGATCTTTATGATTAACCTTTATGATTCCAAGTTTTATGAAACAGTAGTGAATAGACTGTGTTTATGAAGCTAACATAAAAGTAACGGATGACTGCATTAAATTAATCTTTTATACAAAACTAAAAGAAAAAAGAGCTTGTCTAATTGCCTAATTAGAATTCATATAATATAATAATTTATACAAATTAAAAAGTTCCAGACATCCTCAGTTTATGAAAGGTTTTTTCTTAGTCCAGACGCTTTCATTCTGAAGTCAAGCTGACATTAATTTGATAGGCTCTAGGTCAGAGAAGATTTTTACTATTCAGAATAACGAAAAAGTTTACATTGGTATGGTGAGGTATGTTAACTAACTATTCAAAACCTTATGTTATTTTTATTATGAGTTTTTAATTTGTTTTAAGGGTTTATAATTTCATTTATTTGTTGTGATGTATTATGTCTAGCTTATTTCCATAGGCACGTAATGTATTCTTTAAAGTACAGATTTACATAAAAAGAAAAAGTTGAAGAATCAGCCTAAGGGAAATAAGTTATCAGGTACTTAAACTAAAGTTCATTACTGTTGGAACTCTAAATTTGACTTTTTTATAAAAGCTAAGATAGAAGGGGGAAAATATTTAAATTATGTAGTATTTGTTGTCCCATAAGAAAAAAGCACACAAAATTTCTGTGAAAAAAATCCCATTTTCTACCTCTTTGCCCTACCCACTTCGAAAGAGGAATTTAATCTCAATAAGATTTGAGTAATGGTATTTCTTTTGGTGCCTGAAGTAATTACAGATTAATAATTATAGGAGCAAAACAAGTCTTTGAGTCTTGGATTATAGACAGTTCATTATTTATAACCTTAAAAATACTAGTAGCACAAATATTTTGTTGGTTAAAATGAAGGTTTGTACGCTTTAAGTACCACCGTACATAAAAGGTAGCAGAGCTGCTGTTCAGGTATGTAGGTTTCTATTTGTCTTCTAGAGAAGGTTCAACAACTTCTTAGGCCTAAGTCAAATATTTTCTTCAGAAAAGAGGTCTGGCAATAATTTCAAAGATTCATACAGTTATTGGTTAAGACCCAAGTCTGTATCATTTCATATGAAATAGAACTTTTAGAAAATACTGGGTTCTGCCTTGTCCCTCAAGAAAATTCTGTGGCCCTCCTGTTAGAGTTATTTAAGAGAAAAAATGTTGTTTCTTTGCCAAATATTAAACAGTCTTAGTTGATATAATTTCTCATTTCATTTGAGAAAGCAGAAACAGGTTAAGGATGTGAATTCTAGAATCAGTTCTGAGTTCAGATTTTGTCCCTGCCATTTATTTGTTTTGTTGTTCTCCCTTGTAAAATGGGGATGATAATAATAATACCAATTTTATAGAGTTACTTTGAGGATTAAATGCAATAATACATGCAAAATGTTTAGAACAATGTCTGGCATAGATAAAGCACTCTATAAATGTTAGTTCTTATTACTATCATTTTTTGACAGAAAATCCCAACTAACCCAGCCATTAAAACACTCCTACTTAGAAACAATGAGCCATGTCATCAGTATAAAATCAGTACGTTTGTCTTCCTGCCTGCTGTAGCAAGAGTGCATGCATCCAATTAAACTTAAAGCTATACTTCAAATAAAGGGCATGAGAACATGTTTAACTATTTAACTTTTAATTAAATTTGTACTGAAGTTGAATTTTAACTATATGTTTTATATAGATGGCAAAGAAGGATAAATAACCTATGTGCATTGCCATGCCTGTTTTGGGGGGGTCTGTTTTTTGGTTTGAGGTTGTTTGTTTATTTGGCTTTCTTAACTGTATAGAACTGTATAAAAACCTGAATTTTTTTAAACCACAAACTCCATTACTTGATGAGATAGACTAATGTCATCTGAAATTTGTTTATCCTTTGAGCAAGTTTTTAGTTTGGAAAGCTAAGTTTATGTCATTAGTTCAGAAAATAATTAATATTAATCTCTGAATCTGGGACATAAAAGATTTCCCTTTTGAGGATTTAAAAGACTATTTTTAAAGCCATTCCAAGAGGACTGTGCCTATAAAGTTCACTGAGGTAAATAGTTCATGAATGTGTTAGGGTAGGACAAATCCTAAATGGTCCCGTTGTCCAAAAACAATATATTTTCAAATATACATATTTTTTATCTCAGAGATTCTTGTTCTGTATTTATCTCCCAGAAAAGAGAGACATAGGTCAGTGTTTAAATATTTATTATGAACCTTCTGCTTTGTTTTTGTTACTGTTTTTCCACCATGTTAGAGGATATGAAGTATCCTGTGGTTAGGTGTCTAATATGATAGTGTTTTAAATGTTTTGAGTGATATCTTACTTATGAAAATTTTTCCTTGCTTTTTAAAAATTTTCGCTTTCCAAAAAGAAGTGCTTATAATTGCTTTGCTTCCTTATTTAAGAATTAGAGCAGCATTTCACTGCATAAATAACTTTATTTTTCTTTTACTGCTATAATTCATTTCATCTCTGATCAAATGCACATCTAAACTAAATCATATATTTTAGTATATAAACCCTTTGCATATTGTACTAATACCTGCCAATTGTTAGTATCTAAAATGTGCTGGGCCCTACTTTACAATTTCACTAGATATCTGCAGTAGAAGATTTAGCAGAGTCATTTTAAACAGAAAAGTGATTGAACTCTGATACTGTTAAGTGACTTACCTAAGCCAATACAAGAGAACCAAAGCCTAGGTTGTCTTGCTTCAAACCCCATGTTTCAGCCATTTTATACACCCTCTTTCAACCCTACCACAGACGCTTTGAATTTATCGCTCGTGAGACATGAATTAAAACTTAAGTTATAGGTCAGCCAATGACCAATGGATGACCAAATGCTATATTTTCTCCCTTTACATTTTTAATCATTTATTTAATGAGAGAAGGAAGTTCAGAGATGTTCTTAACCTGTGAATGATACCCTGTCTTTTTTATATTGGTGTATGATGTTCTGTTCTCCTTTGCGTCCTATTCAGAGGCATTTTCAAGCCTTATTTTATAAGCCACTAATCTGTGATCATGGTTTTTAAAAATTACAGACAAGACAGTAAAAAAAAAAAAAATAGAACTGTAAGGTAAAGGTTAAGTCAAGTGCTTCCAGAGAGGAAGAAGTGAGAGAAAAGTTGATGTAGCACTATTTATTTGAAAGACTGTGTTATACCAGTTGTCATAATCTTGGTAAAATAGAAATTCAAATAGTACATAATCAAACGCTGTACAAATTATTGATTGAATAAAATGTTTCTCAGTGTAAAAGCCACTTTAAAATTTTCAGTGCTCTCCTTTTTTAAAAAAAAAATTAATTTTATTAGAATATAAAGTATCAGTGCTACTTTCATTGAATTTCCCTGAGATAACTAAATAACTTATATCACTCATAATGATAGTTAATTTTTCTATGTTGAACCAGGGACATTTTTGTTTGTACAGACTTTAGAAGTTCTGAAGATTATCCCTGTAATGAGAGAAAAATACACAAAACTACTTCTGCATTTTAAAGTTATCAGAAATTCTTATAAATATATTAATTTAGGAAGTCTTTGTACATGTTAACATGTGAAAGGCTATCAAAAAAATCTTAGTATTTGAATCATGAACCCATTTATATGTTCAGTTCCCAATTTATGAATGCATCCTTTTGAAGCTTCTTAGAGGGCAACATGTATTTTCTCATACATTTACTCATAAAAATAGAATAATGTTTTCAACAATGAATTAATGCAATAATGTTTTAAATAGTAGTTAAGTTCCCAGGTTAGTTTATATTTTTGAATCTACTAACCTTACTATACAGCTTAATTACTGATAGTGGAGGCTATGAAAGAGTTTATTTTGTAATTAAAAAATTAACAGATGTTTAAAAGAATAAAATCAGGTTAAATATATATATAATAATTATTCAAGACATAGATACAAAGAGTCTACATATTTTATGTTAAAATATGTTGGGTTTTCTGCCAACTCTTACAGCTAAGAGTATCTTGGGCCCCTAAAATTTAAATACACACAGTTTTCAGCTGCTGTGTACTTACTATTTTCCTGTGGAATACATGGGATTATCACTGTTATCAGCTTTTGTGTTTTGTCAGCTCACTTTAATACTATAAAACTTTGCCTTTTAAGATTTCTTAACTATTTACCTGTTGCCACAGTGTTTTGCAGATACTAGTAGATGTTTGATATTTATGGACTCATGGATTTTAAAGTTAAAATTTACTTCTGTATAACTTCTTTAGTTTCATTTATTCAATTTAATGTATCAAATTTTACAGTAGTATGAGATGAGCGTTTTAATATTTTCTGTATGCGTAGCAAAGCACAGTTTAAAGAATAATTTGACGTAGTAAGTTATTATTGTTTGCACAGAGATAAGAGCTTGAATCAGTGCTTGTACAATCTTTACCAAATATGCACAAATATTCCTACATAATCCTCATTTACTTTATTTCTTTTAAACTTTATTCAGAATTAAGATTGTTTAGGTTCTCCTTTAGAGTAAGATTTCTTAATTATTTTCCATGGTTATGTGTAGCACTAGTTTATTCAAAAGGTTGCAGATTTGCAAAAAGGAGGGGGATAGATAGAAAGACAATGTTAATGTTTAGAGAGTCTATTAAAGTAGTAGAACTTCATTCATTACTCCTTGTCCTGCCGCAGATTTTAAAGCCTGAGTTAAGTGTTGATTTAGAATGAGAAGTTTTAGCCTATCACCATCTGATTGTATTTGGGGATCAAGTACTTAATTTTAGATATCTTTCTATAATTACTTATAAAAATGTAACATTTAAACCTGAATGTAAATAGTTTGAATGTCAGTTTTTCTTCACCTTCTAATATGTATTCTAGTTATCTTAGCCATATAAACAATTCCAAGAAGCCCTGTCTGCTACAAAGAATCATTTTTCTTCAACAATTAAGGAATGGAATATCAATTTATGTCAAGCATTGAATAAGTTAAATACCCTCTTTAATCCTGATTCTTAGGAGCCCTCATAATTCATGATCAGAATTATTTGCGCTTACCCAGATTCTGTAACTAGAGATAATATGCATGAATCAGAAAATACTTACATCATTGAAAATCATTAATACTTTATTATAACGAGCTAAGATTTCAGTTCACATATTTTTTATTATTGTAATAACATAGATTTTAGTCACTTATTTTAATAACTTGAGATCTTGATTCTTCTAACATGTATCAAGGATGCAGATGGTCAGATATCTTAAAAATTAAACAGCTAGATCATCTCTTGGGGTGCTCTGAGCCAGACCATTCCTTCAGCAACTAAACATAATTTTTTCTTAACATGACACATTGTAAGACTTGTGTTTAAAAGTTTCAAGTAGACAGGCTATAAAGAGATAGGACAAGACTATTTAGAACAATTGTAATTTAAATTGGGGTTTAGAGATGTATATTGGAATTTAGTGATTCAAAGATCTTGTTACTGATAATTACTCCAGGACATTAACTGTTGCAGGAGTGTCCTAGCTATTGACTTATCAAGAAAAGAAGTATTAGTAACAGGGTAAAATGTAGGTCTGTTCTTCACTATAATTTTTAGGTAATGTATGCAGAATATATGAATATTGCTAACTTGGATGACTTTAAATGATTTTATTAGATGGATGAGACTTGTTTCTAAGAAATTATTTTTTGCTCTTAAAACTGATTATCAACCACAGAAATGATGAAAAATGCAGGATTGTTTACTCATTGTATCTTTAAATAGTCCAAGTCCATCTTTAAAGATTAAATGAGTATCCATTTCTCTAATAGTGTATCATAGTTCTGTGGTTTGATGGCAGGAACAAAGTGAAATACTTACCAAACATTATTGTCAAGAGGGCAATCGGCATCACAAACAGTCCAACCAGCAAATCAGCCACTGCCAGGGACATTAGGAAATAATTGGTAGCATACTGCAACTTTTTCTCCAGTGAAACAGCCAGAATAACAAGGATGTTTCCACCAATTGTGGGTATTATCACCATGAGTATCAGAAGAGCTGCCCAGCGCGGTTTATTTCCCTGTTCCTCACCAGTCTGTTTCATTTCCTCTGTCTGTAATCCAAACCAGTTAGAAGAGATTAATTGATCAAATGAGCTCTACAAAATGTGCTGAGGAATTGTGCTTTGTTCAGATTTTCTGTAAGAGAAAGCCATTTGCTGTTTTTTATGATTTGAACCAATTCTGGACAGTGGTCAGCGTGGTCAGTAGCTAAGCTGCTCATCTGCTTTTTTAAGGCATTGTACCCATGCCAAATACTCAAGGTCAAAGTTGGCTCCTTCCTTAAAAAAAAAGAATTTCAAGTTCTGTAAAATGAGAGCATACGTGCATCTGTCCTTGTCTGGTAGGGAAGGCCCAGGTGCTTAGTATTCTGCAGAGGCTTCAGAAGGCTTAGTGAAAGAAACTGATAGCTGTGAAAAAAGACTATTTTGGGGGTTCTCTTTCTCTCTCTTTTTTTTTATTCCTCCTGTAGTCTTGGAGTTGAGTTTAAATTTGAATGCCAGAAAGGAGTTCCCCCTAATATAAAATATGTCGGTTGCAATATGTTATTTCTTTATTTTTGAAAACCGGTTTAAAAAAATACTTGAACTGATTGGTAACCCCTCCTTTCTCAGTAGGTCTGCTCTGCATTTGTAATAGTGCAGCCAATTATGATATGTTTCAATTAATAAAACAGGAAATATATTAATCTTTTCAGTGGTATAATGAAAACTTAGGTGTTTCCTGACCCTTAAATATCTTTTTACCTTTACTTTAGAATACATACAGAAGATTAGAAACGTCAGAGCACCAAATAGTTCTGAATAAGACTTTTCATACACACTGACCACCTACCTAGGAACACTCTAAGCCCACCTGTGGTCTTAAAAAATGATTTACCAGCTAGGAGTCCTTATTTGTAATTGGGTTTTGCCTGATCAGGTTTATTTTAATACTGCCATAAAGGCTATTTTTATAAAACATTTTAGAATTCCTTTATTTTGAAAGAAGGGGGGAAATAATTACTAGGATCCAAATAATTGTTTTTACTTATTTCATCTTTCAAAGAAAGCATGTTTCTGCAACAAATATTTCCCAAGTATATCACTTTGTGCCAGATTTGAACCAATTCTTTTTTTGTTCTAAGTAGTAATTTTTTTCTTAGCCTTCCCAGTTTCCATTGGACGGAGGGTAAGCTAAGAGGAAGATTAAATCATTTATTCATAAAATCTACAAATCCCACATTTAAAATCTCCCCTTTAACATTGTAAATTTTTCAGTTTGGTTTTTAAAACACTGAATAGAAATAAAAGATGATGGTAGCAGAGTTTTTGAAGGAAGAAAGAAAAGCCCCTTTAGATTAACTCTATATTTATTTGTTAAATACTTACCTCTTATTTGTTCGTTAGTTTCCCAAGCATGTCATCTTATCTGCTCAGTAGACCTGCTTGCTGCTGTGACCGAAGTCCTCCTCCCTTTGCGTTACTCTGAGCCTCCAGCACTGGTGCTTGAAAGCAGTGAAACAAATGTGTTGTATAGCTGTAAGCGTGCCAAGGAGGTTATTTCATCTTTGATACATTCATTTCTAGAGAGTAGCAGCATTCATTATAATTCATAAAATCACCAGTTAAGTATGTTGAACCAGTTCATGACCCCTATTCAAGTTATATTCTTAAGGGTTCTCTTTAATATTTGGGAGACTGTAATAAATTCTCATTTTAATGTAAGATAGTTTTGTTTTAGATAAACCCTAGGCTGCTTTTCCTATCTGAGAAAAAATAAGATACAGTCTAGAGATTCTAGAGCTTTAATTCTGTGAAGATTCTGCCCAGTGAGCCTTAAAGCGATTTCCAGAGTTCAGACTTCTACCAGTGAAACAAGATTCTTACCCAACTTGCTGTGGAACACAATTAATTTGCTCTGGTTGCAACCTTATATAGAAGAACACAGAAAGGTCTGAATTCTACATGTATACGTAAGTTTCAGCAGAGACTTTTTCATTGCTCATTTTTAAAAAGATGACCTCTGGATTTGGGAATTGTTTCACTGGCAGTTTTTTCTTTCCACAGATAAATTGGGGAAAGTTACGATACGTAATAAAAATATATTTCTGCCTTATTTCTGAAAATTAGTGTAAAAATCTTAACTAAGCTAAGTTTTCTTTAAACTGTAGGACTGGCTTAGTATTAGAACTTAAGCATTTTCAAGGTTTCCTTTTAAAAGATCATCATAGATCATTCATATTGTTAAATTGTTTAATTACTTCTACATAAACAAGAGCATCTGTACCCCTCTTCTATTTCAAATTTATATTTCTTAGCTTGTGTGAAAGTTATTGGAAAATATTTTGTTCATTTCAGTTCTACTGAGCACTTCAGATTTTATTCAGTATTTACTGCTTTATTTTAACTCAAAATACAATATTTTAGAAAAAATATTTGCTAAGAATTTGGGGTGAAAACAAATAAAGTAATCCTCAAGAACAATCAGATAGATTGTAATGTGCCAGAATTTCTTCAGGAGTATGGGAATACCTTAAAATACTGCTTTATTCTGATCCACAATTTGGCTTCTGTGCTAGTGCAGGCAGATAGGTGTCTGCAAAACAAGTAATGTCAGATTGAAAATAGCACCATTATATTCAACGAAAAGACTTGCATGAAATAAACCTTCATTGACTTGTATTTATAGATACATTTCTTTAAATATTCATTGAGTATATTGTAAAAATACCAACCATTATTATTATTACAATACTTTATCAATACTAACCCTTCTTATCCACATTCACTCACTTTAAAAAAAAAAAAGACCTTAACTAAAATAATTAAAAAAATAATTAAAACTTGTTCTTGGAAGTTTTTTATTTTATTTTTATATTTTTAGTTTATGGCTAAGGAATGTAACTAGTTATAACAACTACTTATTTGGCACCCTTGAGTTATTAGTGTAATTGATAATCAGAGAGAAAGTAAAATAATAATAAATAAAAGGGTAGATGAATCTCTCATTTGGCAAATAACTAAATTTGTGCTCTAAAACATCATGCATGTTAGGTAGAAGGCCCCGCTCCAAATCTTTTTACTCTGAAAACACATTTACAAAAACTTTTCTATCCCCCATCTTTAATGAAGATAAACATTTGCACATGGTGGTAAATCTGAATAGTCCAAAAGAATATTCAGTGATAAATTCACTCTTGAGACAGTTTTAGCAAACACATTTCCCTCCCTACTCCAGAGCAGGGTAACAAATTAAAGGTGAACACACATTTTGGTAATAGCAAACAGGGCCAACTGAAAAAATAGGAATTAAAAACTGTAAGTGTGTAGGTCTACTCAGAATAGAGACTTGTATACACCAGAAGTCATCCCAACATTGTAAATCAGCTATACTTCAATTAAAAAAAAAAAGAACAGACTTGTAGCTCTTATATAACTCAACCCTGTACAACTCGTATGTGGTATAATGATTGATATCATAGTGATGACTTCCACCTACTTAAGTAGAGGTTAAATTATCTTTATTCAGCTCTGTTTTAGATGGCAGAAAAATGTGAAAAACATTTTTTTAATTTCTATCCAAAATGGTGAAAAATATAAAACTATGATTCTAAATGGTAGAATAAGATTTCAAATATCTGGAAGCTTCATTTTTGTAAAATACTTCATTTACCAAGAACTCCAGATTAATTAATTCTTACTAAAGTAGCTTAAAGGTCAGACTCAAACTCTAATCTTACCATAACCAAGAAACCTAATTTGTGCATTTTTTCTAAAATACTGAATTTTATCTCTGATGCCTTTTAATTTATTAAACAAATTCTATCTTTAATTTAAGGAAGCAGTCTAGTTTCTTTTATAGGGTTAGAAAGACAACTTAAATATCAGCCAAAGATTTTTTTTTTTACCTCTCAGTCATAGTATCTATCAAACACTAACACATTAAGGGATTTTTAACAGTATGTGGATTGTGTCCATTACATATTCATTCATTTGAGAAGTATTCATTGAGTTCTGTTTGCTTGTGGAGTTACATTGATGAGCAGGATAAACATATTGTGCCTTTATGTAATTTATAGTCTTATGGGGGATACAAATGAGTATACTGAAAATTATAATATAGATATGGCAGAGCTAAGACTAGCTCACTTCACCAGGGCCCACAGCACAGCTCAAATATTTCTTGGCTTTTTTTTCCATTCCTTTCTTGATCATTCTCTTTGATTACATCAGCGGGAGAGCTGAAACTTGGGTAAGAATAGCTATTTCAAACTTAATCTGTTCTCCTTAGACTCTTTTGTTCATTCTCCCCTGATGACTGAATTTACTGCTTATTTTAATGAAAGACTTAGTCCAATCTGAAAGCTTTGTGACCTTTCAGCTTCTTCTCAAGATGCCTTTATTTTCATCCATCCTATCCTTTGGGGTCATACTGTCATTCCTCTTTTCCACGACTAACTTTTACTCAAGTTCTTGATTCCAACACTTCGTGATATTCTTTGCAGTCTAGCTGAATAAAGTATTTTCTTTTTCACACATAGAGTACATGCCTTGAATATTCATTTCCTCAGCTTTAACTTCTTTCTTGCAGAAATGCTCAGGTTTCCAGTTAATGAAAAATGAAACCTTTCTTTATCCCTTAAGTTTCTTTCGTTCCTCATCAGACTTTTTTAGAGAATTGCCTATCCTTTTCCCTTCTTACCACCCACCCAGTCTATAACTCTTGTAATCAGATTTTTATCCCCAGCACTCTACTAATATAAGTCTTAGAACGTCACTGATTAACACTAGTTGTTGATTTTGTGCAATATTCAGTACTGTTGACTGGGTAGCCTCTGGTCTTCTTTCTTCTGCCTTTGTGCTCTGCTCTCAATGGAGCAGCCAAAATGACCACTTTTAAGCCAGTCAGATCATATCATTCCTTTGCTTAGAATCCTGATTGCCCTTCATTTCACTCATAGTAAAAGCCAAAGTTCCTATAAATCCTGAATAATCTGATCCTGTTTTCAACTACTCTTCCCCTTGTCACTACACTCAAACTGTTGGCCTCTTTGCTGTTCCTCAAATATGCTGAGCATCATTCCACAACAGGGCTTTTGAATGAGCTGTTTCCTCAACCAAATACACTCCTCCTCCCCCTAGCCGCTTGACTCACTTCCTCCTTGCCTTCTTGTCTTTACTTAAATATCACCTTATCATTGAAGCCTGCCCTGACTATGCTAATGAATACTGCAAAATGGCCTCTTCTTCTGGCTCTTCCAGTACCCCTTACATTGAATTACTTTTTTTGTTCTCCTTAGAACTTCACCATTTTACTTACTTTATTATTTATTATTTGTCTCCTACTGGAATGTAATCTTTGTCTTTTTGTTCACTGATCTCTGAGTTTATCCTGCTTAAAATTTGTTGAGTTTCTAGTCTTTCATCAAAATTTGGGAAATTTTTGGCCATTATTTCTTCAAATGTTCTTTTAGGCCTTCTTCTCTTTTCCCATTAGGACTCGCATTATACATATGCTGGTATGATTTGTGGATGCCTACAGATTTCTTAGGCTCTGTTCATTTTTCCTCATTCTTTTTCTGCTCCTCAGACTGGATAATCTCAACTTACCTAACATCAATTCTCAATTAACCTAACTTAATATTATCAATTAACCTTACTTGGTTCTTTTTTCTGCCTGCTCAAATTCTGCTGTTGAGCCCCCTCTAGTGAATTTCATTTCTTGGTTTGCTGATTTAAAAGGCAGAGGGAAACACACTAATAATACTATAACTTTTTTAATGTTACAGATTTCTCTAGATCCCGGAATGCAATCTGAGATTTTTAAGAACCATGTTTCTTATTATGGTGAATTGGTAATTTCTTTATATAAATCTTATGAATCTACTTTCTTCTCACCTCTCTGAGCTGTTTTCACTCCATTTCAGCAGCACCTGAAAGAAATTAATCTGTTTGGAGATATGCCAAAAGCTTGTCTAAAACTATAATAATTTTTAGTTTTCTGAAGTCTAGTAAAATAACTTTTAAAAAAAGAAATATCTCCCACTCTTTTAATCTCTAATGGCATTCACTTTTTAAATTTTTATAAAGTAGCCAAAAAATAGAGTAAGAAAAGTTGTTAGAATTCCACAACATGTAGCTCCATTGTTGAAAACAGATGCAGCTAGCAAATTTGTAATTGTCTGAGTAAATATACTTTAAACATACCAAAATGTAAGTATGAGGTAAAGTTAAGTCATAGGTAACACGTTCTATGCTAATCAAATGGTTTCTCAAGTATTGAATTCCTTGCTCTCTGTCCGCATCCAATAAAACAAAATCTACTGTTTTTCCTATGACTTGACCATTTCTAGACATTAATTTTTCTAACTATGTTTATGGAGACATAGAGATAAACTTTTATTGCTACTCAGGGATCAGTCATGTAAATACTTGGTTATAAATGCTGATCCAAGGGTTGCTGCTGATCCATTTATAACAAAATAATGGGAATTATTTTGTGATATTATCTTAAGAGATAAATGTTTACATAGAAAAGCAAAGATTTAAAGAATGTCAAAAAAAAGAAAGATTTAAAGAATGTCAGAATTATCTAAAACAACTGAAAGAAAGCCTTATGCACTGTTATTAAAGAGTTGGTGTATTTTCTGTTAATTTGTATATTCTTTCTCTGTCTCTTGCCTTGCCTCTTTTTTCCCCCCTCCTTGCTGCTTGTTTGTTGAAGATACCAGGTCATTATTACTGTCAAATTTCCCACAGTATGGATTTTGCTGACAGCGCCCCTATATGGAATATAATGTATTTTTTTGGTCTTCTATAGTTCGTGTAAATTGATAGTTAGATCTAGAAGCTTGATCACATTCAAGTTCAATTTTTCACTCTTTTGTTTTTAAGGAGGGGTTGGCAGTGCACATAAGGTATAAGGTCCAATTGTTTCTCTTTTCATGATGTTAGCAGTCATTGACAATGAAGCTGAGGTCCATTAATTCATTCTAAGTTGCAAAATGGTGATCGTATAATTTTATCATTTATTCATTTATTAACTTGTTAAATTTTTATATATACATACATGTATATATGTGTTTGGGTAAAGATTAATGTAAGGAAGTTTTGCTTTCAGTGTATGTCTGCATTCCAGTCATTGCTTAGATTGTTTTGTCCTTTTATAGCCGCCTGTTGAAAAATTGAAATAAACATAGACTATTATGATTTTATT